CAAGTAAAAAAAAAAAAGTACTCACTTACATCTGTTCTTTTGTAGCAGATGTCACCAATCCGTGGACTGAATTTGACAATCTGAAGTGCTTTTGTTTGAACAGTATTTTAGAAATTAGAAAAAATTCACATAAAATTCTGAACTTCCAAATACGTTTTATTGCAAAACTTTGTAGAGACACCTGACCGGACCCACATTTCCATATATCAGAAGTCAGCTGCAGCTGCACAGGGCCTCCTTAAAGGGTTTGTTCAACCGAGTGTGGTGGTGCATACCTGTAATCCCAGCACTCAGGGAGGCTGAGGCAGGAGGATCATAAGATCAAGCCCAGCATGGGCAACTTAGGGAGACTTTGTCTTAAAATGTAAAATAAAATTTAAAAAGGGCTGGAGATGTAGCTCAGTGATGAGGCTCCGTGTTCAATCCTCAGTAGAGGAGAGGGGGTACAGGTTTGCTCACTCTAGTCTCACTCTAGTCTCCACATTCCCTGCTGTTTTCTATTATTTATCCACCTCATTCTAGGAAGCACATATGAAGTGTGATTAAAAAAATACTGTGAATGTTTAAACTTAAAAAATTGTAATACAAGAAAAGACAGTGTTATTGTCCTCCCCAAAGTCCTTTGAACACACTTATCCCCTTGCTCTCTCCACTTTCTGGAAGAGTTCCAGAAGTCCTCTTTCGTGAGTGTCGTTACTTGTGCTTTGGTAAAGGCTGCCTTGATGTTGTGACCTGATTCACAGTGTTTATCTTTCATGTCATTTTGACCTTGGGGAAGAGCTGGACGTTGCACAGTGCCAGATCTGATGAACAAGGTGGACGAGGGCTCACTCTAATGCTTTTATTTGGTAGGAATTGCTAGAGATGGTTGTAATGTGTGGTGATAAAAGATAGGGTGAATGTTCACATTTATAAAAATTATTACAGTTAAAAACAGGCATTGTCATTAACCCCTTTCAAAATACTCAAAGTATTCTCCCTGGATTTAAACACACTTATCGTTGTTGGCAATGTGTCTTCTACTTTGTAATTTTTTAAAAAGTTAAACATTCACCATATTTTTCAAGCACTTCTTGTATTCTTAGGCCCAGGATTTTTTTTTTTTTTTATACTGGAGATCAAACTCCGAGCCTTGTGCTTCCAGTGGAACCACTGAGCTAAATCCCCAGCCTAGGCCCAGGATTTTGAAAACTGTAGGTCAGGAAAGACTGTTTATCTGTCTTTTGTCAGTCATTTTCTGAGGCAAAGTGAGCCTGATTACTACCTGAATAGATGAGAAGTCTAAGGACCATCAGGAAGAATTGACTGGTATCTTAGAAATGTTAAAACACCATGGGATATCGTCACAGTTTTATTTTACTAATTTAAAAAATGTTTTATCAAGTTGATTTATAAAAATCAGCTTTGTTAGGGTATAAATTACATGGAATAAAATTCACCAATTTCAAATGTATGATTCAAACTGTTTTCCAAAATGATTGTGTCATTTTACATTTCCATCAGGAATATATGAAAATTCAATTACTCCAGTCTTGTTATCATTTGATATGGTTAATATTTTAATTTCAGTTACTCTCATGGACCCCGTGTATGTAATTATATCTTACTGTGGTTTTAATTTTAACTTTTTTAGCAAGTAAAGATATTGAACATTTTTTCATGTGCTTATTTTCCTTTTGTTTCTCTTTTGGGACAAGAATCTGTTTAAAGTGTTTGTTTATTTTTAAAAATTGAGTTATTGAGGCCAGAGATTTAGCTCAATGGTGCTGCCACCTGCTTCTCAAGCCCAAGGTCCAGAGTTCGATTCCCTGCACAAAAAAAAAAAAAGAGTTATTTTCTTTAGAGCTATAAACACTGTTATGTATTATGTTCTTTATCAGATAAATTGTTTGCAAATATTTTCTTCCATTTCATGGTTATGATAGCTTTGGAATAAGTTGTTAAAATAAGTCCTTTTTATTTCAAAATTTCTTTTGAAACTAAAAACATTTTGAAAATTAAAAAAATTAATAAAAATTAAGTTTAATTAGATTTAATTAACCTTAATTGTGTCAATTTGGTTTGGGAGCTGCAGGGGATTAGTAAAAGTGGTACACTTCTAGTTCTGTCTTGGAGGGTGGCCTTTTTATCTTGGCTAGTGTAGCTAGTTTAGTAATTTTTTCAAAGACCAACCTTTTTATTTAGTTAATTTTCCTGAATTGGTACCCCTTCTTCTATTTTACTTCTTTTTACTTTTATCTTTATTATCTCCTTCCTTCTGCAAATTTTGGATTTAATTTACTCATTTTTTCTTGTTTCTTAAATTTGAAGCTTAGATCATTGCATATTATTTCCAATGAACGAATTTAAAGCTATAAAGTATATGTGAAATAACATAACTTTTTAAGATGTCATTTTTGCCTGAATTAATCTATAAGTACTGTTTTGGCTACATCTCATTGATGTTGATATAATGTATTTTCATTTTCATTTAGTTAAAAGTATTTTCTAATTTTTCTTGTGATTTCTTTTTGAGTCATAGGTTATTTAGAAGAATGTTACTAAATTTCAGAGTGTGTGTGTGTGTGTGTGTGTGTGTGTGTTACTGGAAATCCAATCCAAGGACATCCTACCACTGAGCTACATTCCCAGTGCTTTTTTTTTTTATTTTTTATTTTGAGTAAGTTCTCTCAAAGTTGCTTAGGCAGGCATCAAACTAGAGATCCTCTTGCTTCAGCCTTTGGAGTAGCTGGGATAATACACATGCAAATATTTGAAATATTCCAGATATTTTATTGCTGTTGGCTTCTAATTTTAACTCTGTTATGGCCATCTTACTTTATATATTAATCTGTTTAAATTTATTGAGATTAGCTAGGTTTGATGGTGCACACCCATAATCTTATCACTCTGGGACTCTGAGTCAGGAAGATCATGAATTTCAGTCAAGCTTGGGCAGTTTAGTGACTTAGTGAGGCCTTGTCTCAAAATTTAAAAAAAAAATTTATAAAAAGTTCTGGGGATATAGTTCAGTGTTCAATCCTCAGTACAGAAAAAAATAAATTTATAGGACTTTATTGTCTAGTACATGATTTGCATTAGTGAACCTTTCATGTATACTTGAAAAGCAAACATATGTCTCTGTTGTTGGTTATAGTTTTTATACATATCAATTAGAGCAAGTTGATGATTTTCTGTGTATTCTATCCAATTATGGAGAGAAGAGAATTGAAATCTAGCTATAATTGCAGAATTATCTAACTTTTTTCCTAGGTCTATTAATTTTACTGTGGGTGTTTAGAAGTTCTGTTATGAGATATCAATATTATAATGTATTCTCAATATGGTGACTCCTTTGTCATTATAAAATGTTCATTTTGGTCCCTGGTAATATTCCTTCAAGTGAAATCTGTCTTATCTGATAACACTTTAGACACTCCAGCTTTTTAAAAAATTACTGTTTAAATGGTATATTTATTTGCATTTTTACTTATGGTTGTGTCTTTATATTTGAGGCATATTTCTCCATTGTTTTTCCTTTATTTTAAATCCAAAGTAGTAATTTCTAATGTAATTAATGATATGGTTGCGTTGAAGTCTGTTGTCTTGGTATTTTTAAAAAATCATTTGTCCTATCTTCTCATCTATTGAGTTAGTAGGTATATACCTTTGTTTTAATCCTAGTGCTTGTTCTGAGGCTTAAAATTTACATAGTACACTCTATCTTTAAATAATATCATATCACATCACAAATATTGAAAGAATATTTTAACCCTGTTGTCATATATTTTACTTCTTCATATTTTGTGAACTTGTAAAAGAAAATAAAAAAGAACAATCTTTTTTTGAATACTTTACCTCTAGTCACTATAATGTGTGTGTGTGTGTGTGTGTGTGTGTGTGTGTGTTTGTGGTACACACAAAGGGATTATCTTAGGCATCAATCCTGTTGTCATATATTTTACTTCTTCATATTTTGTGAACTTGTAAAAGAAAATAAAAAAGAACAATCTTTTTTTGAATACTTTACCTCTAGTCACTATAATGTGTGTGTGTGTGTGTGTGTGTGTGTGTGTGTGTTTGTGGTACACACAAAGGAATTATCTAGTAGGCATCAACTGGGTGTCCTATAATTAACTAAATTCTGTTATTATCTTCCTGTACATAGCATGGGACCCCACAGGTTAATGGGTCAGTCCCACAAAATTATCTTTCACTTTAGGTGCAAGTCACAAGTCCCAGTTTGACATATTTTTGACCAGCTAAAAATTGAAGATGCCCAAGATTAAATCCTTGGGTTGGATTAATTTGCTATTGGAGCTCACAGGACTCAGAAAAATACTTGACTTAAATTTACCCATTGGTATAAAAAGTGAAATTTGCAGGTGGCCCGGGATGTGCAGCCAGCTGGAAGGGCTGCATAGGGCAGTGTGTCTGAGAAGAAGCCTGGATTTTCTGTGCCCTCTCAAGGCCTACAGCCTTTCAGAAACTTGTCCTGAGTAATCTGGAAGCTCTTTGAACCCTGAAGTTCAGGGGTTTTTATGGAGGCTTCATTATGCAGATGTGATGGTGAAATAAATCATCGACCATGGCGAAAACCCCAACTTTGAACACATTTTCCCTTCCCCGCTCCTAGAGGTTTGGAGGTGGTGTTTGTGGGATGAAAATTTCTGACTCTCTAAATCACATGCTTGGTTCCTTTGTCATTGCCACCTTTCTGAAGTGACAACAAAATGCCTGAGAAAATCAGCTTAAAAGGAGGAAAGATTTATTTTCAACTATGGATTCAAAGATCCTAATTTACGGTTGCTTGGCCCTGTTGCTTTTGGGCCTGTGGCTGGACAGATCATCATGGTGGGAACTTGCAGTAGAAGAAACTGTTCGCTGTGTAGTATGGGGGAGGGGTAGGAGAAGGGAAACAGGGACTAAGGTCCCAGTGTCCTCTTCATAAGCATTCCCCCAGTGTCTGTCTGTCTTCCACGAGGCCCCAACTCTTACTTAAAACTTCTGTCCCTTCCCAGCACTCCCGCAGGCTAATCACCAAGCAGTCAATGCATGGCCTTTGGAGGACATTTTCGATCCAGACCAGCCTTTATCCTGAGACTATCCAGGAGCCCAAGAGTTATCGCATTAGACTGTCATCTGGGAAATTCCAAGGTGTTAAGATGGTCAGTGTCAAGAACCACGTTCAAAGACCAAATATTGGAGCAAAAGACTGTCTTAGTATCTTTTATCTACAAAGGTTTTAGGTGCTCTCTCTCCAGAATGAGGGACAGAAACCAAATATATATTTCAGATTATATCACAAAACCCAATAATATATTGTAATTGCTTTTGCTTAAACAGTGTTTTTTAAGGAGATTAAAAGATCAGAGAAAGTATGTTATTTTTACTCACATATTTATCACTTGTACTTTTCACTCCTTTGTGTAGAGTTACATTTCCCTCTGGTATAACTTTTATCTTTCTCTGTGAAAATTTGCCTCAAGGTTTCTTGTATGGTCAGCCTTCTGTATCTGTGGGTTCTATCCCCATGGTACCATTAAATCAAGGATAAAAAGTACCGGGGAAACATTGTGTCTCTTCTGAACACATGAAGATTTTCCCTTATTGTTATTCCCTAAGCAATCCAGTATCACAATGTTTTACACAATGTTTATGTTGTATTAATATATAAATAGCCCAGAGATGATTTAAAGGAGACAGGAAGGTGCAGGTTATTCAGTGCCCTTTTAAATAAGGGACGCATGCTGGGGATTTAGTTCAGTAGCACTGTGCCTGCCTTACAAGCACAAGGTCTGAGTTCAATACCTAGTACTGAAAAAAAAAAACAAAAAACAAAAAACAAAAAACAAAAACAAACAAGGGACCCACACCTGTGGGTTTCAGTATCTATTTGAGTTCTGGATCCCATCTTCTAAGGGTAACAAGGAATGCCTGTAGTGCCATTCTGATAGCATCAGTTTCTCTCAGTATTCATTTGTCTGGAAAGGGCTCTGTTTTGCTCTCTTTTCTAAAAAGCTTTTTTTCCTAAATGTAAAAAAAAATCTTTTTTTGGTTTGTTTTGCTTTCACTATTTTAAAGCTTTATTTCTGGTTGTATGATTTTTTTTGGATAGTTCATTTTCTTCCAGTACTTTCAAGATGTTACTTACTCCATTTTCTTCTGACTTGCCTAGATTGTTTTTTCAGTTCTGGGAGTGAAGAGAGCACCTCACACATGCTTGGCAAATGCCTCACCGCTGCGCTGCATCCTCACCACCTTTCTTAGTTTTTATTAGAAGATTTTATGTTGTTTGGTTATGTTGTCCTGCACAAAATCTTTTTTTAAATCTGACTTTTTAAAAGATTTTTTTTGTTTATTTCTTGTTTCCAGTAGTTTGATTATGTTGTGGCTTGTTGTGTCCTTACTGTATTATGATTATGTCACTATGTTAATATGTGATTTGCTTTAGGTTTATTCTGCTCATGAATTTTTTTGCTTTTTGCATTTGCCATTTATATTTTTCACCAATTTACAAAATTCATGATGATTATTTTTGAAATCTTCCCTCTCTTTCCCTTTTTTCTTCTGGTAGTCCAGCTGCATGTAAATTAGCTTCTATGGTATGTTCATATTGGTAGCTTGAGACTATATTAATTTTGGGAGTCTTTTTCTATTTATGATCAAATTTGGATAGTTTCCATTGCAACGAATTCAAGTTCATTGATCTTTTCTCCTTCTGTTGGTCTTTTCTCTGTTTATTTTAGCCATAGTAATTTTCATTTCAGATTTCAATATCTGTCTTTTTGTGGAATTTAAAATATTTTTATTCAATTTATTCATATTTTCTACTTCACCCTCGATCCTAGATATGTAGTTGTTTTAATGTTCTTTTATGATAATTCTTTCCACATTGTCATCCTATTTTTTTGCTTTTCTTCAAGTATCTATTAATTGCTCTTTAAGTTATGGATATTTTCTTGCTTCTTTGAAATCTTTTTTTTTTTGGTCAGATACTGCACGTTATGAATTTTACATTGCTGGTGTTGGGTTTTGTTACATTCCTTTAGAGAGCATGGAGCTTGGTTTTGGTGCGCAGTTAAGTTACTGGGGATCAGTTTTATCCTCCACGCCTTGCATGTAATCTTTGTTCAGGTTTCTGAGCAGCTGTTAGTCTAAGCCTAAGAGACCCTCCTGCAGCCTTTTCTGATTCTCAGACATTACATGGTGTTGCTGCTCTGGCAAGTGCAAAGTATTCTTAGCTCTGTGTGAACTGTGGGCACTGTCTGGTATACTGTTTTCTTTTATTTCTTTCCTCGGGCTTGAGAAGTTTTAGTTCATGCATATGCAGCTCAATATGTAGCCAAAGCTTAGAGATCTTCTGCCGACCTTCAGAGCTCTGTCTGTTCAGATGCCTCCTGTATGGTAATTTCCCCCACAGTTCTCGTGGGATCATCTTCTGCAGATGCCTGTGACTGTCATCCTATCTCTCTGTGACTTCTGGGCTCTGTTTAAATCCTTTGTCTCTGATCCAAAGCCTAGGAAATGCTTCCAAGTGAGAAGCTGGAACAATCAGCAAGCTCAATTCTGTTTTCTTCCTTTCAGGAGTGACAGGTCTTACGTTGCCTGTTACCCAGTATCTGAAAACTTTTGTTCCATGTATTTATCCAGTTATACAGATTGGAGAATAATTCTTACAGTAGTTAAATCCTTCAGGAGTAGATAATGCTTGTTGGAGTGTTTAAAATTTTGTTAGTGTTCTTTGAGGATAATTGTTATCATTGTTTTTACTTTGCCAAAAGTGTCTATGAATTTAACAAAATTGTTGTATATTTCACACTGTAGTTTAGTTTATTGTTTTAAAACATAGTGTATTTCTTAACAGAGAGTGTTCTCTGTTCTCTTTTTAATTGAAGATGAGTGATGGTGCACATTATTTAAAATTTACATAATTATAAATTGATTTCCAGTGGTCTGTGGACTGCGTTATGTGATTTGGGGATACAGTAGAATTATCTTACTGCTATACCAATGGTACGGAAGTCCTTCCTATCAGGAGGAGCCTTAGTCATAAGCAAAATAGAAGGCCCACTGTGCCATGAAGCTTGCTTAACAATGTCAAAATTGTGTCCTGATTAAGCTAATATTTAAATAACTTCTAATTAGTTCTTTATATGCATGTGTTTGGAAGATGAGTCTGAACTGTGCTCAATTGATGGGAAAAGTCTATTTAGAATAAAAATAGATTTTAGTCACAGTCAAGAAATGGTTGTGTATGGTACTTTTAATTCACAAAAAATCTAACAGCTGTCAGTTTTCATCAAAAACTTTTCACTGGAAAACTCTTGTGAACTAGACTTCAGTGATAATAAATGAAATTACTTCCTTACTTATGTGAAACCATGTAGATAAGATTTTTAAATCATTTTAGAGAATATTAAAATCATATAAGGTAAGAGATTTGTTGAAAGAGTGACACTGTTCGGTAAGTTTGAGAAACAGTGCTTCTGATGTCTGCTGCGTGAATATTCATTATGCACATAAGTATTCTGAGAAATCCTGCAGTAAACAAACCTGTTTGATTCTAATTCAACATTTTCTACACTTACCTAATTACTTTTTGTTTTTTACTAGTACATGATTGCATTACTCTGTGATTACATTCCTTGTGGCGAGTTGGTACATGAATATACACAATTTAATTCTTTTTTAAAAAAATCTCCCTTTCCCTTTCCTCCTTATCTCTTGATCTCCTTCCCATTTGAACAAAATCCATCTCCCTGCTTCCTATTATCTTTTATTTTGTTCTGTATTTACATTTTGAGTTTCTCCTATAAGAGAAACCATGCAGCATTTAAGCTTGTGCATCTGATTTATTTCATTTCACATTATGGTCTCAAGGTGCATCCATTTTTCTGCAAATGACTGAAGTTTATCATTCTTTATGACAGAGTAGTACTCCATTGTGTGTAAACACCACATTTTCTTTATCCATTTGTCTGTTGATGGATAGAAAGTTGGCTTCCAAGAATAAGCTATTATGAATTGTACAGCCATAAACATGGGTATTCATGTAGCACTGTAATATGATGTATTTAACTCTTTCAGGAAGATACCTATAAGGGGAATAGCTGGGTTGAATGGAATTTCTATTTTTAGCTTTTTGAGGAATCTTCATACTGATTTCCATAGCGATTCTACTACTTTTCACTCTCATCACCAGTTTGGAAGAGTTCTTTTTCCCCTCAGTCTTGCCAACACTTGCTGTTATTTGGTTTCTTGATGATGGCCATTCTTTCTGGAGTAAGATGGGTCTCCGTGGTGTTTTGATTTGTGCCACTCTGGTGGCCAGGCATATTGAATATTTTTTTGGTGCATGTATCTACTGGTCATTTTTACTTCTTTTGAGAAATGTCGATTCATTTCAGTTGACTGTCTTTTGATTGGGTATTTTTTGGGGCAGGAGAGTCTAGTGTTTTTGAATTTTAAAATATATTCTACATATTAGTCTTCTGTCTGAGGAATAGCTGGCAAAGTTTTCTCCCCTTCTGAGGGTGGTCTCTTGACTCCATTGTTTTCTTTGGTGTGCAGAAGCTTTTTAATCTGTATGATCCCATTTGTTGATTTTGGTACTATGTCTTATGCTATTGGGGTTTTTTCCATGAAAACCTCTTAACGTTTCTTGAGACACTAGTGCTCTGCAGAACACAATTTTAGAGATACTGCCTAAATAACGGTGATATATATCATGTGTTATTTATCTAGCCATATCTGGGCCCATAAATCTATAAGAAATGTTAAAGAAAATATAACTGAAGATATGGAAATGTTTTGCCAAGTGTAGACTTCATTGAACACAATTAATAATTTTGAGGTGCAAAGTTGCACAGCTATTTCTCTTTTCAAAATAAGAGTTTTTCAACGTGTTATGCAGAAAACCAAACCTTATAAGGCATCTTGGACAAAAACTAAAGTGAATCTTATAAAATAAACTTTTGGTGACAAAAGTATAAATGAATTAGAAACACATGGAATAAATTGCTTTTTAACTTATGCATAAAATTTGAGAAATGGCTTAAAATGAGCACTGACCAAATTTTGGGGGCATTTTTCTAAGTGGCACACCAGGAAGTGGAGGATGTGCATGGTCCTCATAAAGAATTTATCCATTCCTAATTTAAAATTC